TTCCCTAGAAGGTTAAATGGGTAATAGTGCTAAATTATTAAAACAACTTTCATGTCAAAGCAGTTATTAGAAAGATTGTAAAACCTTAACTGAAGGATATGAAATGACTGCTGTATGAAATGTCACACCTGTATACCAATTTAAGTAATTCCCTAGTGGCAAAAGATATAGTAAATGGGAGTTTCTGGCAAGTGAAAGCCATCTGGAAAATTACACACTTTTTTTTCCCCAAAACTATTGGAAAGCAACCATGGAAATTAGCCACCTTTTAATCGGTAGATATGTTAGCAAGTGGCAAGTGACCATTCTACCAAGAACTGATTCCCAAGTGGAACATATATCTCAGTGCTTATTCTTTAATTAACAGTCTTTTCACCTTGTAAGTGCACTAAAGTCATTAGAAAGAGGTCCCCATGCTTATGTAATCAATTTTACAGTATTCCAAAATGAAATAAATCATTCTAGCTTTACCCTAAGTGAAAACCTTTTCTCAAAACCTATCACCTTCATAAAGATAGATTTAGAAAAAAAAATCTAAAAAGGGAAAAACTGGAATGTGGTCTCATGAGGATAAAAAGGCTAGTGTTAATAATTAACAAGGAGAGTGAAGTGGAGTAAATTAGACATAATGGAGCCCACAGTGACTGGCAAAGTCACCTCTCATTATCAAAAAACTCATTAGGAAATGAAGAGGTGGAAATCCCACTGGGTTGTTCTCACTCTCCAGTTTTATCAGAGATTACTTTTCAGATTTCTTTCAAATGAAGAACTGTTAGGTCACCATATTGCATATTAGGTTAATCTTCAGTGAAATTTGGAGGACTGACACCTGCATATTATTCTATCTCAAAAGCTTTAAATGAGCTCTAAGTCTTCGATGCAGGAGTCAGTTTTCACATAAACCTGACATAAAAGAACTCCTAACAATAAAGAAACAATCTAACATTTACAGCATTAAAGAAAACTTACATGTAAGACTATTTTTATAACTGTATCACTAAAATACATTGGAAAGACTGAGAGATAATGAAAACGCGCAGTCTTTGCTATTAGAATAATATCAATGTGTTATTTTACATAATATACAAAACACTGTACAGGATTCAAGCTGAGTATTTTAAAGCCAATTTTCATTTAACAATGAGAAAATAAATTCATTTTCCAGTACAACATATAAGTTTTCATTAAGTAAAAGGAGGGCGGAAGGGAAAGTCCTGATTGAAACTTCACATTTCTATTTTGAAGGACTCTATTTTGAAACACTTTAAGCTTCTCCTTTTTTTCTGACTTTACTCCACAACAATTCCCAGTTCATAAGTGACTTCATCAGTGATTGCTTTCCCATTAAGTCTGACTGAAGAACTAGTTAGAAAAATGGATGGAAGGATGTGATCTTCCTATCCTAAAAATTATTTCAGCTTTTCTGACAAGAACTAACAAATAACAAAAAGTGATTTAAAAAATTATGTTTTCTGTGGAGTTCAGTAATAGACTGGAGATAAATCTGGTGTGATTTTTCAAAATGTAAAGGTTTAAAAAAATAGTGTACCTGCTTTTATAATATACGTTTAATGATGTCCAAAGTTTCTATTGTTTATACACAATTATCCCTATGTAAAGCTTTGCAGATTGTATAGTGATAACAGTACCTGGTATCTCTCTATGCTAGTGAAATATTTTTTTCCAGAATTGGATATTTGTAGATGGAAGAACATGGTTGTCCCAGAATTGTGTATTTTCTGTAATGACTATGCTACTTTTTGTCCTCAGAGCCTGTAAATTATGTTATGAAGGGGCCTGCTCTAGAGGGCAATTTTCTTTCTCTAGTTGTTTAATTTTTCAGGTTTTTAGTTTTCAGTGCCTCAAGACAGACAATGTATTAATTCCTCTTCATTTAAGACAGTGTCAGAAATATCTTTTGGTGGTAAATGCTTAGTTGCATGAAGTATCTATATATTCGGCTTATTTCAGAGGTTTTTCAATTGTCTGTTCAGTATTCTACAGCTTTCCTTGCCAAGGTTTCTTTTCAAGTATCGTTTACTGACACTATGTACTGTGCTATTGCCCAGCATTATTGCATTACTGCATTGGCACAAATCAGTCAAAACTAGGAGTATTATAAAGTTAACTCATAATATTGTTTTCCATCAAGAATTACTCAGTGACATGTCTGTGTACCTGCTCTCATTCAGCCATGGTACACCTGTAGGCAGTCTGATAAAGCTGATTTGGAAAAAAGCAGCGTAGCCTGTTGAAAGCCATTGCCGCTATTATGGCTACTGATTTCAAACGGGAATTCTCTGATATGTTTTTTCCACTGTTGGTGTTGCTAGTAGCAGAGTGGCAAATACCAACGAACCACAGCATCACCTTCCTGCTTTGTTACAGCCTGTGACCATTTTCATACTCAAATTTATGTATGACATCATAGCCGCTACAGTGTGGAGACTGAAAGCAATTTGGATTTAAGTTAATCAGGACAAACGTTATACCCACGCTGATATATCTCATCAAAGCTTACTCTGCCCTCTAATTGCAGTGGGAATGTTTTCATAGATCAGGGGCTTACAATTTTTGCTTCAGCTGTTAGGACCTGCTTTGAAATCATAACCTACCTTCTTATAAGAGCTACATGTTTTGGTTAGCGGTACTGAGAGCTAACTCAAGCTGCATTATTGCTTACTAGAATAGCCAATAACCTTTTTGACTGGTGAAAGAAAACCGTGCAATAAGATGTTCATGTCACTTTGTCTTGTAGACACGAAATAAGTTTTCAGCTTGCTTCCACATAAATAAAAAATCTCTAAAATTCACTTTTAAAGTATGTCTTGTATGTAAAAATACACATTTTGTATATAAACTGAGATATTTCCAATTTTCACCACAATTTAAGTAACTGAATAAAAAATGCTCTGTGGAGGCCAAACATAATATAAACAGGAAATGAATGGAAATATAAAATTACTTTTTACAGGTTATTGGATTATTTTCAACTGCTGTGAATAGAATATGGAGCCCCAAGGGAATTTCTTTTTTTGAAATTTACTGGTTTTATTTTGGATTTAAGAATATGCCACAAAATCCAAGTGATGCCTTCCCAAGAATCATATGGAGAGCAGGATAATTATAGACTGTCCACCAAAGTGCTAATTTTGTCAGTGGAAAAGAGACTCGTGTTAACCTCTGTCATTTTTCCTGCAGAAGCTCTTGAGGACAGCATAACACACTGACTCCAGGATAACTCCTAAGCTGTGCCTCTCTAAGTAAAAGCAAAACAAACCCACAGCTTCTGCTGTACACAAGCACAGTAGATTCTTTTCTTACTATTAGAGGAGAAACATCATTCCAGTGCTGTATTAATGGACTGTGCTTTTCATCTCTGATTTTTTTCCTGCATATCTAGCTACCTAATATGTAAAAATCTAATAACTTCAACTTCAGTATTTCAAGAAAGTTCCATCTGGGAATCTGTTTCTGTTCCTGTAATCTGTTTTCCATTAATATTGTCTATGCATGAGCTTGCCCTGGCATAGGCTTTCATTTTATTGTTGTTTGTGTGAATATGAGAGGGCTCATATAAAGAGGGTGTGAGGTGTCTAAATTGACAAGACAATGGAGAATTAAGCTACATAGCTTTGAACACAAGTGGCAGTTGAGGGATTTGAAGTGTGGCATTTCCTCAAGGATCTCATTTCCCATCTGCTTTGATGCACAGGTGGTACCTTTTGGCAAGATCAATTCTAATCATAGAGTGCCATGAGTCTGCTGATGATACTCAGCTATATCACTTACCCCTGCGCTCTTAGTTGTTTCCCTGCCCTGCAGTAATCCTTGACAGAGATCTCCAGATGGGTAAATCAGAGCTGCCATGTCCTCAGCCCTGGGAAAACAGAATGCTGACTGAGTTGTTTCCGAGACAGCACTCCCATGTGTGTGCCCATGTACAGAGGGATCTCACTGGAGGTGCAGTCATACTGAGTCTTGGCATCATTTTGGAAAGTTTCACTTCCCTGCAAAGGCTGGTGTCAGGATGTTAGAAAAGTGATCCAGCTTTTTAACAGCTTTTAGTTGCTGTGATTTCTTTAAATTTCATTCTGACTTTGGAATAACAAGAATCACCCTCCTGCCCATGAGGCTTTATTACTGTAATTCCCAGAGTAGGGTTTGTAGCAGAGCATTTCTGCAGCGTGCTCAGAAAACAGTAAACTACAATCTCATCCCTTCCAGTAACTATGATTGCCTGATTAATGACAGTCCTGCACTGACTCACTATAAAGAAGCAATATTGACTTAATTGACACAGTTGTATTCTTATTTTTAAGGTCAAAGTTGCCTTGAAAAATCAGCCTAACGTGTAGCTTTAGACCAGCCTTTTGTTTCTCAAAGCAATGTTCATGAGCTGTTTACTGTGAAACCTTTTTGTTAATATCTAAATCCAAGTTGTTATTATTGCTGGTCACAGAAGCTGCAGTTTTAAGATATGTAAATATAGAAAAAATAATACTGTTTTGAGTGCCTGATATAGAAATAATTATGTCAGAGCTACCTAGTTAACAAGTAGTTCTAGGAGCAGCATAAATAATGGAGCATGTTTGTAATGGACTCACAGGTGCTCTCAAGGGTGGATTCTCAAGTGTTTAATAAGAGATGAGCCTATGCCGCTGCCTTTTTCTCAGTGGAAACCCTAATAATCTCTGCCTCCTACCTAGCTGCCGGTTTTCATGATCTTCATATATGTGGTATCTCCACCCCTGTGTGTAAAATGGTTGTAATAAGTGAAAAGCTTAAAAATTCTTATTAAGAGAGAGGCAGGTGAAAAAAAGCAAAGTCAGCTGATCGCATTAGTATTGCCTTCTTAGGTAAAAGTGATTGATACATTAATTTCTCATTACGCTACAAGGATGTTTTCAAGAAAATAGTTTTTGCTTTCAAATCATTATGTTCAAGAAAAAATAAAGTATTAGTCTCCAAACACTCAGCAACTTCCTTGCAACATAAGTAACAATAGGGAACTGAAACTTCACGACACATTTTCCTCACAGTCTCTATCTCTTCCAGGTTCAGTTTGTGGTGAACATCATTCAAGAGTAGAAGGCAAAGGAATTTCTGGAGGTTACAGAAATTATGTTTATATGTTGTACATGGAGTTGTACCAGTAGTGAAACAAGAGGGATTATAATTTTGTGAGCTGGTTTCCATAGTTTTAAGCCACATGATCCAGGATTTTCTTCTTAGGAAGAGGAGGAAACCTCCTCAAAATGCAGTTGTGGTACCCATCCAAATCAAATAAGAAGCCTGAATGCGGGAATAAGTGGGAGGAGAAACCCATAAGAGAATTAAAAACAACAAAATATGGGTGGGAGAAAAGGAGGGCTACCAAAGTCATGAAAATCTTTGCAGCTCAGCTTGCCTGTATGATTTCCATGTACACATGGGAATACTCTAATATGTCCTAATAATAGTGCTGTATTAATGGGTGAACACAGACACATTCAAAACATGAAACTGATATATTCCTTTGGTAGGACAGCACGTAAGCATGCTAAGAGTTAGGGTTTGCTAGGAGAACATTTCAGGGTGTACAGGGACAAGCAGTGGTGGTGGCAAACTAATTTTCAGGTTTTAAGCATCTTCAGTTGACATTGTATATACAGTTTTTCATGCAGTAAATCACATCTGTGAAGCAGGTAATTTTCTACTGCTTATAGCTACTTTACTTTGCTTGACTAACATGCTTCATATTTGTATTACACTCACCAATTGACTCCATTTCTTCAGAAAACCAAGAGAACACCACTGTGTGTGTTTCATGCTGTCAGCTTTCCTAAGCGCCTTAGGCAACTAGTTTTCAGGACTTCCTTTAAATAGCTGTAAAACTAAAATTGCTGTAAAGTTGGAGATAATCATACCAGAGAATTAGCAAACTTCCAGAAGGGAAGTGTGGAGTTAGCATCCTTTAAAATTTTGCAAGACAGCTGAGAGGGCAGAGCAGAGGCCAACTTGGCTGCTGAGGATGTTTCACATGAATACAAATTGCCTGGGGGGTACTTTTGTTCATGAGGGTCTCAATGAGGTTTGAGCACAGATCAGGATGGAAAAAAAAACACGGTTCTGGTGGTGAGCTCTGGCCTTCGAGATTTTTATGTGTGGACAAGCATAGGAACATTAAGACATGTCTTCTTGGTAGTCACAGGCAGTGATTCAGGACTTTGCCAGATCCCAAGGACACAGAGCAGATGGGTAAACTGTTCTTACTCCCGCAAACACTCATATGTCACATATTGCCTTTTTCATTTAAGCAATCTGAAGGAAATGCTGTATACATCTATATTTTTGCACATGTGCAGCTGCAGTGTTTTACTGTAACCTTTGTTCTTCTTAGCATAAGGAGAATAAAAATAATTGAATGACATTCAAATACTCTTTGTTTTGTTTGGGGTTTTTATGCTGTCTTGGTGTCTTAAGTATTGAACAAAATTGCTAAGGTTTAGATGCAGCAAGGTATATCATCAATTTTAAGAAGATGCAAAAGTGTTCTGGTTCAACAAAGAACTTCTGTATGTGCCTAGTTTTTGTTACAGCAACAGTTTAAAATGTACTGCAGTGTCCTTATAGAGCACTTCATTTGTCTTTTCTGAACTGTATTTCCTAGACAAGTGGGATCTTGTTCTCATAATGCTTTTGTGTATTAAAACATTTTAAGAGATAATTTCTTTTCTATAGTAAAATTAGGGAAAGGTCCAACATTTTTTATTTGTGCTTTGTTTGTTTTTAAAGCATTTTTGTGCAATGGAAAGTTTCACAAGCACTTGCAAGAAATTTTTGTTCCCATGGTCATCCGCTACATCGATCTCATGGAATCATCAATTGCCCAGTCCATTCACAGAGGTCTTGAACAAGAATCGTGGCAACCTGTCAAGTAAGTGCTTTCTATAAGATCTGAACAAAGCACCTGCCTACAGCTTTCTGTCTAATCAGGTGTTCTCCCCCATTGTCCTCTAAATATTCAATTTTTTATTGTATTCCTACATTGTTTATTTCTTCACAGGAGCATCACCAACAGTCTTCCTAATGTAGCTCTTCCAAAAGTTCCAAGTTTGCCTCTTAATCTTCCACAAATACCTAGCTTTACTACACCAACCTGGATGACTTCTTTGTATGACTCCACGTGTGTATTCTTCAATAACCTTCTGACTGTATGTCAGCTCTGCATGGCCTTGCTAGTGTTCTGTGCAGCTGTATTTGGATTGCATGGTGTTTATGATCTCCTAGTTGGAAATTACTGTTTCTTGGAAGTAAGCCAAGCATGGACTGTTAGTGAGTTGCGCTTTCTAGTACATTAAAATGTAGCAGTCTTAAACCTGATAGCTTACAAAATCAACTTGGCAAAGGTCTGTCATAGTATGAATGGTGTTTAATACCCTAAACAACCTAATGACTCTCCTGAATTAATAAGCAGTGGGGAACATTTTGGATAATTGATTTTAGATTGTGGTTTTATGAAGTGAGGCAGCCCATATTTTCACATGGGTTTAGTTAACTTCTTGTATATTGGTTCTGAAAATCACTGGTAGCAAATATTGTCATTGGATTAAATATCCATGTTACAGGAAAATAATAAAAGGTTAATAAGTACTCAGAATAGGAGTACATCCATTTCTTTGTGTGTTTGAAAACTATGTATTTCTTTCGGATTTCGCCCCCAACATTTCAGTGCTCTTTTCTTAAAAAAAGATAAAATAAATAGAGCAGACATGCCCTGTTCTGTGGGAATATTCCCATAGTTACGTGCCAGATTTCTGTGTGACAACACATTCATATACATTAGAGAAAGGCTCAAGAAGAAACTTATTTTAGGTAAAGTTGTATTAGGAAAGGATGAATGTGAAAGACTTCAAAAAACACATGTTCAAGATGCAAAGCTTGATAATATGATTTCAGGTATTGTCTTCTCAAGTTTTATGATGGAGTGAAAGACTCCTAACAAAGGCTCAGATCCATTACTGCAAGAGTTCATAGAATCACAAAATACGGGGTTGGAAGGGACCTCAGATCATCTGGTCCAATCTTTCTTGGCAAAAGCAAGGTCTAGACAAGACGGCCCAGTACCATGTTCAGCTGAATCTTTAATGTGTCCAATATTAGGGAATCCACCGCTTACCTGGGAAGATTATTCCAATGGCTGATTGTTCTCATTCTGGAAAGTTTTCCTCTCAGAATCTCCCCAGAAGTAACTTGTACCCATTACCCCTCATCTTTCCCATGTGACTCCTTGTAGAAAGGGAGTTGATAATTTGTGCTCTCACTGACTTCTGGCACTTATCTGTTAAGCATTATGATTATTCTGCTGGTAATGCCCCTGAAAGTTGACAAAATTCCTCTTAATCCTTGCTTTGATATTTTTGGTACTTTCTGTTTAATTTAATAACGCTAGGTTTGCCTGATGAAGAATCTACAGGCAAAAAGAATGAGAAAAAGCAGCCTGTGAGCCAGCTGAGTTACAATTAAATGTTTATCAAGAATGCCAAGTCTGTGTCTGTTTTGTTTGCAATAGGAAAAGATTCCATATTCTCCAAATTTTACTAATGTTCATAGAATCATAGAATGGTTTGGGTTGGAAAGAACCTTAAGATCATCTAGTTCCAACCCCCTGCCATGGGCAGGGACACATCGCACTAAACTATGTTGCACAAGGCTCCATCCAGCCTGGCCTTGAACACCGCCACGGATGGAGCATTCACAACTTCCTTGGGCAGCCCATTCCAGTGCCTCACCACCCCCACTGTTCATGCTCCTTCATTCATGTTTAAATCTGTTCATATCCAACAGTGCTGCTACATGTCTACCTAAGAATTTTTGCTGAAGAGAAAGAGGTGAAAATATACTCATAGTTAGGCACCTCTTTATGTTCTTTATTGATGAAAACAGATTTTCCTCATTTCAATTAAAAGTTGCGACAATTCTCTTGAATATTACTAGAGAAGATTGTTTATATTTTTTAATTGTCACTTTTTTTTCCCCCTTGATCACATATTTTTGAGCAGTAAATGTATGCTGCTTATAACAGTGCTTAGGAAGATCATTACCTCATTTTCAATTGTTTTGGCTTAACCTTTCATTATTGGGCACTAGAAAGGGACATATGAAAAGGGGACAATATTATGAGTGGTAGTCTGTTTTTCTTGATTGGTCTCTGGAGAGGACAAGTCAGAGGACACCTTGGCTAGCCATGCAGAGCAGTGTGGATTACTGTTCCTTTTGGCTGAAGACAATATCCTTAAAGAGAAAAAAGTTTGAATAGTCTGTAAAAGCTTCTAGTCAGCCAGAATGAGGACAGGCTTTTCCGTACTTACTCATTAAATCAGATGTACTACTTTAAATTGAATTTTTTTTCCATTTCATATTTTAAATTTAATTTATCTGTCTCTTCTGGACGTGGCTTTTAAGTTAGATTCTTGAGTGATTTTAATTGTTTATGGTTTAATTTATGTATTATTATTATTTTCAGTGCAGCCATGACAGAGTCACTGACCAAAAATATCGTAAATACAGACCTGAGGTTGTGCTGTCTGGTGCTGGTCTAAAACATCAGGCTGGGGAAACATGGAATAAGATACGTGCTTACAGGAGAATAGTCCTGTCTTGTCTTCCAACCAGAATAGGCAACATAAAGGGAAATGTCTCAACTCTATTCTTCCTGCTATGGCTCAACTATAATAAGTGACAAGAGGGACCGGCTGGAGCAGTGACAGTGATTGTGATATGAAAGGGTCTAGTTTCAATGTGACTGAGCTCTTGTTCTGGACCTCTCTGTGTGTTCATGCATGCTGAGTGTGTCAGGAGGCCGTGTTTCAGCGCTGTCTTGTGGGAGTTTCATGTGTAGTGCCACATACATTCCTGTCATAGTGCTTGCCTCCACTAAACCGGCAGGATGCCATGGTCTGCGTTTTAAGGATGGCTATTTAAAAGTGTAGCCCTAGTACTGATGGACTAGTGCAATTTAGTTGACTGGCTTTCTTCTGAATAAGGAGATTCAAACACAGCTAGTTCCTATTGAGTGTTCTGGAAGGCAGATGTGTACTGTGGGCCAAATTTCTTTTCTTCCAAAAATACTAACATGCAGGAAGAAGGCTCAAGAAACATGTTTTGATTGCTTGATGCTCAGGTTGCCTCACCTTTGAACTAAGGCGAGGAACTATGACATAAGTCTGTCCCTATTATCTTTGAGGGAACATACACAGCTGTTAGTTGCCAAAGTTCTGCTCTGTCCTTCCTCCTCATCTGCTGATGGAAAATAGAGAGGTGGGAGTAAGCACCATTGACTGTAATTATTGGAAATACTCTTCTGTTGAACAAATTCTCAGTTGACTTTCTGAGACCTCAGTATACATCTTGAGGCCATGTAAAGGAAGTAGAACTGGAGCTCACAAGCTTATGGCTCACAAAGAACATAGAGCTGGTGCCCTGTTTTGTAAACAGTCCTCACAAAACACTAATGGGTAGTAACTTTAAAAAATATATAGTTGCTGTGATTTATAAAATCACTATTATTACCCTTAGTAAATTCCACAAGAATGGAAGCCAGCTGCTTTTGAATCTTGTGACTGATTGAGAACATCCTTAGATATTTGATCTTACTCCTCTATTTTCATATCCCAAGCTACCCTATGGAGTTTCACATCTAGGCAAGAAATGATATATTGAACATGTTCTCTGGAGTTGTGTTTGTGCTGATCTCGCAGCTAGAGTGCTTTATTAGTGGACTGTTTGACTAATTGCTACTACTGAGGTAGCTGGCAAGCCTAGGGGGGAGCTGTCTCGCTCAGCTGTCAGTGGATAAGTGAATTACTTGGGAGGCTGTATGCAGCTCCTAGGTTTAATATTCTGCAGGGTTTTGGAGAAACATTATGTCTTGGACTTTTTTTTTTGCTGTATTCACTATGATGCAAGGCATGAGGCTATAAAATAATTCAGGTTAAAATATACCTCTGGAGCTACCTGGTCCATTCTCCCAGTCAAAGTGTGACCAAATACAAAGTTAAATTGCCATTAAAAAAGTAATTAGGATGGGCATGATATTTTCCTTTTTTAATCATTGGAAACGTTCCCTAACTGCCATGTCCTGATTAAAAAGAGTGGACAACTAGACAGTACCTTTTGCACAAGGAGCTAGTGCTGAAAGCATAAGTTTTGACCAGCAAAACAGTGGAATTTGTGCTTAATTTTAAAAATGTAGATAACTATTTTGAATATACCATTTCTTGGTAGAGCTATATTATTCCATTCATTAGACTGAAGTAGCTTTACCATACATGTTCAAATAAAAACTGTTCAGTAGCCAAGAATGTGTCTTGTCCCTTCACCAAAAAAAATGGTTCTGTAATTATGAATGTAGATTCAAATGCTGGTGATTTGATTTGAATGCAGGAATTCCTTCTGCTGCCAGGAGGAGGTAAAAACTGAGTTTAGCTCTTCTTCACATTACACTTTATGTAGTATATACCCTGAAGTGGCATTTCCAGCTCCTAGTAGGAAGAGCAAATCAGTAGATTGTGCAAATCTGTAGACTGTAAAACCACTTCAGGGTATCCAGGTATGTGCTGATAATTTATACTATTTCTAATGCCTTTTAGGAAAAATCCTAAAAATCAAATAAAACAACTATCTGGTACAAATAACAATTACAAGGTGATTGAAAGCACAGTTTTATGCATCATTTAACAAACAAATTAGATGTTTGCATCTGGATGTGCGAAATAGGAACAATTAGTCTTTGTTGTAGCACTTTAATTTTCCTTCCCCATCTTATTAGTATAATATGCTAGTCAAATTCAATTGTCATTGGGCAATGCTGAATAAAAAAATTAAGAATGGGAGCTCAAAATAATATGAAAAGAAAATGAATGAATTAATGTTTCATGAACCTGTGTCTATTATTACATTTATTGTAATTGTGAAACTTTATTTGGAAGTCTAATGAAACCAAATTAAGTGGCTAGCAGGGAGTGAACGTGCATAAGAATACATTGATGTTATTGAGAGCATATTAGTCCTCCTGAGTCCTAAAGAATTTCATTTGGAATTCCATTAGGCAAAAAAGAAAAAACTATGGAAGAATAAAAAATGGTTAAATTGTATGATCTGATGGTGAAAAAATGGTAGTTCTGTTTCTTGAGAAGATATGCTTTATTTTCTAGAAAATATGTTTTCTTATCAACTGCACTGTATAAACTGAGATTGTCCCCATTTCTGTCCCTGTATATATTTTGCCTTCTTTTATGCCAGTCATCTCAAACATTGACTTAGTCACTTCTGAATCAAATAATGTGCATCTACAACTTCACTCACTGCCAGTGTACACAGCAGATATAATGAAATCTTCAGTATTTGCTTATCATGTAACTTAAGAAACAGCCTAACGGTATCACAAAATTTCTGAGAAGTTTTGGTGGTTTGTTATTTTTATTTCTTAATTAAACTTAGTGGTGTATAAAAGTGGTTCCTATTCAGGTCCAACCTTAACAGCCAACATCCCTGTGCAAGTTGTAGCAGTCCCATGGGCCTTTTTCCTATTGCTGCTGTTTTCTTTCAGGAGTACAGTAAAATATAAAATTAGCAATTGCTGTTTCAAGTAAGAGTGGCAAATGTGCGTGATATCAAAAACACCTGTCTAAAACTGGAATTTCCTGCTATGCATGGTGAAGATATCAAAACTTGCACCATTTAAAACCAAAGCCGAATTCAGGGTCAGTCGCTTGTAACCAGCGTTTTCCTTAGGCAGGCGCTCTGGCTCCCAGCTTATCACGCACTGCCCAGCCCTTGCTGGCTGTCCCCTTCGCCTGGCCTGGCAGCTGCTTTCAGCATTCACACGGCACTGCAGAAGACAGCAATGGCTCTGAGGTCATGGTAGCGTGAAGGCAGTGGGGTAAGGGGGCAGTTGGGTGGGTTTGGAAGCTAGTGGGGTGCCGTGAGACTGAAGCAGTACTGCTGCTGCATCCGTTTTGCCTCTTCAGAGCCCTGAACATGAGCTGTGTGCTTTGCTTCTCTTTACCACCCGCTGTCTTGGCTAACTTGGTATGAACTAGTGGTGGAGCTGCTGTCTGAGGGGTGCATTAGGTGGTCAGATATTAGAGGTCTTTTCTATTTTCTTTTTTGTTATTTTGTTTCTTTTTAATCAGACCCTGCTCTGTCCTGAGCACACTCAACACTCACTGACTTCTTCTATAAGAGCCGGTGCCACTTAACATTTTGGTAATCATGTTCTTTTGTCATAAGGCAGAAGAAAAAATGTCAGTAGTGACATGTTTCGACTAGTCTGATCTAAACTGGGACTGCCAGGCTGAATTTTGGTTGCTTGTGTTACTAATATGCTGGAATGCCATGCTGTGCAGCACAACTGTCCTTAAGCAATAACCCAGGCGCTGCAATGCAGCGCATCATGAAAACACGATGATAGTGGAAGTGTAACTGTGGCTACTGTTAAAATTAGCCTCAAATTGTTGTATTTTATCAGAAGCAAATGTCTTTTAATTTAGCAGTTAATGGAAGAAGAACTTTAGAACTACATGGACAATCTGAGATGTCAGAGCCATATTAATCCCCCGTTTTGTTTGTGCACAAATTTCTTTAAATAGTTTCTGGTCTCTTTTTTCCACCAGGATCTGATGTTATTCCCTCAGTTAGAATTAATGAGCATTTATCAAGGGACCATTTGTCTGGGTATCTCTTTTACAGTATTGCTAGTAGCATCCTCATCTCTTTGGTAGGCTTATCTACCAGAGTTATGGAGGCAAGAAAATGTATGTGCAAAATTTTCACTGTTTTGAGAAGGTCCTTGCTAATTAATAATTCCTGTATCCTTTATTTTTTCCTGTCTTGATCTAAAATTTGAGCTACTTTATTTTTCATGTTCCTCAACATCCCATTTACCTCCCTAGTCTGTCATATTTCTCAGCTAACAGATGAGAAAACTTCATTTTTTTTCATCCTAATGGGAATTATTTTAAATTTTCCATGACCATTTTCACAATCGGCGAATAAGAGTAACTGTGCTATGAGATACAGTGAAATGAAGGAGAAAGATGGTGTGATAGGAAATCTTAGTATCTTATATAATTCTGTGGCAACTGGGTTATACATCTATACATTTATCTTCTCTTTCTTGGGGACTTTGTTTTGCTTCTTATAGCAATGGCTCAGCTACATCAGAAGATCTTTTCTGGAAGCTGGATGCTCTGCAGATGTTTGTTTTTGATCTTCACTGGCCAGAACCAGAATTTGCTAGCCATTTAGAGCAGAGACTTAAACTCATGGCCACTGACATGATAGAAGCCTGCGTTAAAAGGTACAGTTGAAATGATGAATTAAAAATTTGGAGAGATTTGAAAACTAACTTAGGAATAGCCATACTGGCTCACAGAGGTACACCTATAGCAGAATCCTGACATAGCAATCAGGGCAACTGTAAAGAGATTATGTCTTGTATGTATTTCCCAGCATCTGGCAATCAGCAACTTGGCAACATCTGGGAAATACCAAGAAGAATTTCTGCACATGTTGTGACTAGACCTTTGGAAGTGAATAAACCAAATGTCTTTTTTATTCCATATTTGTGGCAAATACTAGCAAATCTTGGAAATCTGCTCGAAGAAATCCTTCTTCATTTTGTACGTTTCCTTTCTGTTACTATATTATTATTTATGTTCAGTTAATAATGCTACTTAATTTATCACTATTTTAGAGTAGTGTCTCTAAGAAATATATTACAAACTAAAGAGTATACAGTATTTCTACATCTATACAATAAACAAAAGAAGGCTATTTGTAAGTCATCCATCTGACACTAAGTTTTATTTTGTTAAGCTCCTGGAAATCATAGAAAACATAGTGTTGGTTTCCTTCTTAAGCTATATCTCATAATTACGGATATATTATTTCAAATTAAGCATAGTGATCTAAAAAGATCTCTGCCGTAGCTTTCAGTACATATGTTTAAGTTTAGAATAAATATCTTCATGTCTAGAAAATTTACAGGGAATCCATGATCCCACATACAGGGAAAGCTTAGTCTGGACACATAAAAATATTGACTTCTTAATAAAAAATAAATAAATAAAAATAGAAGAATGGGAAAAAAGTAAGTTTGTAGACAATTTAATAGTTTCAAGCAGGAAATGTACGACATTGATAAAGAAGGCTAAAGAAACCAAGAACCTTTAACATGCACTAAGGTTAAATCTGATAGCACAGTATTTTATTATTTTCTATTAAACAGAGTAGGAACAAGAAGAACCTCAGGCTTACTATATGAGCCTGTTGCTAGAGCTATAGTGATGAAATCATGGTAAAAATGGCAGAAGCATTTCACAAACATTTCCATTTGATTCTGGAAGGGTGATGATATTGTGAATGGAATAAAAGTTTAAGCTCTGTAGCAAAGGAATGTGTGAGAAAATACCTGCTAAAATTGAAGTAATGTAAGCTTACATCCTTCTGTTCTAAAGAATTCGGTGTTGAAGATGATTGTCAACTAAAATACCTAGCAAATCTTAGAACAAATGATGAAATCTCAAAGGACTGGAAGACAGTGTAATCTTGAAAACCACAAAAGGAATATCATTGAGATGCAGCAATATATTGATTATATTGATTTTGAGCCTGGAAGGGGAAAAAAAAAAAAAAAGAAAAAGATTTTTAGGCTGGAACTCTTATCAGCTTATCTGAAATACAAAGATTTATAGAAGTAGTACTAGTCAAAACAATTTATTGAATAATTAATATTTTCAAATTCATCTTATGTCTTATTCAAAGATTATTACAAATTAATGTGGGAAGGGCAACTGTGTTAATATATTCTCCTAGGCAATAAATCTAGTGCCACATGTTGTCATTATCTAAAATTTTTCACTGTAGAGATGACTATGGATTTTAATGGCACACATAAAATAGGTTAAAAATGGCTCGCTGCCAGGATCACAACCAGAAACTAAGAAGAGAATTATTAACACAGAGGCATTACAAAAAGAATTCTTTGTGGATTGGATTTTGGTCTGTGATACCAATCCTGACATCTTTGCTGCTTGCTTTTGTAGAGAATAAGAAGGCTCTGATGACAATAAATGAAGGTGTAATTAATATTATAGAATGATTCTAGTGTCAGTACATAAAACATATTAATATTTTAGTGTTAATACATAACATACTAGTGTTAATACACTAAGCATGTTTTAGTGTGGTCAAACATACAGTACGTCAGGTGGAAAAGAAAGTATATTATGTCCACAGGGTGGATTGTATTAGACAGTAGCAACTCAGAAAAGAATGATCGAACTATTCTGTTGTAACTCTTATTGTTATACTAATATGTTCTATAAGACTTACTAAGATGGAAATGGGATGCTTCTTTCCCATCTTCTTAAAACATTATGTCAATTTCTGGTACCCACATTTATTTCCACAGGGTGGAAAAAAACATTTCTTTTATATTTATGTATTCTGAACTATTACAATTTGTTTCAGTAGCATTGCTTCCTATTTACACCTGTGTGAGAAGAAAATAGGGGTTTTGTATTATGTATCTCCTGATACATTTTACTTTTCAATTATATATTGCTTAATAATAAACTCATTTTCTTCACTAAACTTCCCTTTCATATTAAAGACAGAAGAGCATTTTTTTATTTTATTTTTTGGAAGCAACTATTTTGTATGATAAACTGCATTTTAACATAGAAAGACTGGAAAATGTGGGGTATTTTCACTGCTTTAAATTGTTCTTAGTCATCATACAAGGAAGCATATTGTTATATAGTAGGCAAGAAGATAATACTTTTGTTATTCAACTGAATTAGCTGAAGCAGTGCAGAACCTTGAGATTGCCACCAATGCAATTGTTTATTGAATGGGTGGATATTCTGCACTTAAAGAATTTTCTAAGATACTCTCATGTGTGTGTACATTGTAAGCCAACATGTTTAGTAAGGTTCATAAATTTGTACCCTGGTTGGTCTGAATTATCAGAGAAATGATATTATGAATCGTGTTTTAATAAACAGGACAAGAATTGCATTTGAACTCAAGCTGCAAAAGATGAACAAAACAACAGACTTGCGGATCCCTCCTTCTCTGTGTACAATGTTCAATGTCTTAGTTGATGCCAAAAAACAGACAGCTAAACTCTGCATACTGGATGGGGGGCAAGAGGTAAGTGGAATTTTGTATGTTTAATTCCCATGTTTGGCTAATAGGAAACATCTCACACTGCAGACAGTCCTTTATAGATTAATTTCAAACTGAAATGTGTCACGCAGCTCTGCTTGTACAGGAGCATGCATAGACAGCTCCCTAAAAGCATCACACAAGACACAACCCCTCATCTTCAGATGCTTCTGTAATTTATTTGCTTTGACCTGTGAGTCTGTTGAACATTCAGAAGATTTCTTGACTCACAGCCCCTCTGGGATTTTTTCTTGGGTTGCAGCAGAGAAACAGCCCTCTTCAGGACTCTTTTGTAATAGTAGCATAGAGCCAAAACATTGTCCTTTGCAGCCAGGTTTTAAGTGAGGAAGGTTTGTTTTTCAGTGGCTCATATTGTCCAACATTCATGCCTGTGTACATGCTGAAAACAGAAGAAAGAAATAATCAGGTAATTTAATGGGATCTTTTTATTTGGTCTCCAAGGACAGGGACCATTTTGGCAGTAGTGTGCTGCCAGGACTGTCCCAGTAGAGCTTTTGAAGGATATGTAGACTTCACTGACTACTGTCCTTCCCATATTGTCACCCTCGGCAGGAATAATCTGTGAAGTGAAAAGGGCATACTACATTGACTGGTGAGACCAGCAGCATAAAATTAAAACTGTTCTTGCTGGCCTAATGCATTAGCAGTGTAATTTTGTTTCATTTGATTTTGGATAGAGGGTAAAAACATTTATCAGAATCTGGCAGCAAAAATTATGTCTGCTTTGGGCAGTTTCATGTTTACATTATTTGGTCATATTGTTTTTGTTGATTTTTCCATTTCTGTACTGTGCTCTTTTTAAGTTAGTGTATTCAGTGTAATTGTCTTTTTTTTTTTTTCTCAATTCAATGAGACATTCATCATTTTCCTGTTCTACCCTGTCATCTTTATTTTTCCTTTTGGTTTTCCGCAACATGAACCAGTTTGCTAGTCAGTGGGTAAGTGTCTTTTTGTTGTTTTTTAACCTACATTTTTTCTTTTATTATTAACAGCCACTTTTTATTTTAAATAGTAATACTGTTTTTCATGTTAATTTGTAAGCTGAGCCCTCAGATTTTTTTACTGCCTGCCTTTGCTACAGACTGATCATCAGCTTCTCGGTTCTTTCCTTGTTCATCCTCTAAGACGGTTCTGGATGAATTCTTCGCTCTTGTGCTTTTCAGACCCAGTGTCCTGTCTTACTGAGTCACAAAGTTGTGGGCTCTTTCACTTCTCGGTGAGGCAAAAGAGCAACAAAGAATTTGTTTCAGGTTCATCAGAAGTAAACCACAACTAGCAACTCTGCCTGAAGCTAATGCTGCCAGCTTACCTTATACTTAGCATTCCAAGCAGTAAACTGCAAACACATCCATGCAGCCCCTACTTTGTGGACACGCAATACCAGCACGTCCATAAGGACTGCAGGCACATGGTATAGCCTTATTCCCGCAGTCATGTCATTCCTCTTGCCTGCTCTGGATAATGCCTCCTGCACTGTTAGCCAGTCCCCTCAAAGCCAAAGTTCAGCATTTTGTAGCATTCCTATAAAAGCCGAAGTTCAGTTACAGATCCTCGCCAGATTCTCTTCTGAAATACTCCCATTATCTGGACTTTCAAACTCCATCATACACTCTTCACAACACCAAAACAGAAATACAGCCTTTGTTCCCTACTAGGTGTGACCATGACTCTAAATGAATCCAATGAACCATTTGACATCTGTGATGAAATATGTACTTTTTTCAAAGTACCTAAATTAATCTTGATCCAAATTCATCTAATAAACCAAAGGAATCTCAAATTCTTCACATATTAGAAATATCAGATAATGTGGAAACTTCCTTCTTTCACATAAACCTTCAATTCTTGTCTATCATTTTTTTCTGTTCCTAAGGATTTTTTGGAAGGTAAATTAAAAATGGGCTTTTCTTTGTTGCTTGTAGCTGATACCATGGTTATTTGAAATGCTTCAAGTTTTGTTGGATGACATACTTGTGGAATCTGGCCATCTGACAAAACAGTTAGATCATCTTATAATATAAACAGCTGCATCTCTGGCTCTATCTACAGCAACTCTGGCAATTCCAGTTAGTCCTACATAGCCACTTGGTCTTGAAAACTTTCCCATATTGACTTTCTTTCCCTCAACCTCCTTCATCTTCATTTTAGTCTCCAAAATGGTCTTTTCTGCCAGTCAAGAAAAGCATTCCGTAAGGCCTAAGCTAGCATTTTTTAAAAGGCATATTTGTTCACCTAAAACTCAACACTGAATATCCATCTAACAGTTTCTAGAACTTAATCTGCAAGTGATGGAAGGTGATATTTAGTGAGATGGTTAGACTCAAACATCTTGAATACAGCAGGCTCTTTCCATATTTATAAATAAATGTCATAATATTGTTAGCTTGTTGTGATTTTCAAATAATTTGACTTTGTTTTTGTTTTTCTTGGTCCTACAATGAAGTTACTGATTATATTCAATTCCTACAAAGTTACATTTGCCTTGTAATGAGGGAAAAAAAATGGAACTGATCTTAGAGTATACATAGATCCATTAATTTAATGTGCTGTGGAGGTGAAGTTGCAGACACTTATTGGAGGGACAACTGTGATTTTTGATGTATCACACAATACGTATAGTGTCGACATGCGTCTGTGGGAGAAAGATCGCTTACTGTTTTCAGAGAGTAAGATGCTGTTGCCTTCTGAAGAGTGTGTAAGCAAGAGATGTCACAGACAATTTGGAGTGATTAGTAGATCAAGAGAATATTATATTGGTCAAGACATTCGTATGGTTAGAATAAAATATATCTGAAATTGTGGAAAGTTTCTTTTATGTATTTCACATACACTCTTTCACTGTTTCAAGATGTTTGCTGCTGCTTATCTGAGATGTGTATTCACATTTTCAAAGTGTTTTTAAACTTTAAAAGGAATTGAACCAAAAAATTAACACAACTGATAGCAGATACATATGTGTGTGCAAACACATTTCACAGTTTTATTCTCTCTCAATTCAAACACAGGCTCAGTAGGTACACTGTTTAGAAAATCATTCCTAAATATATTAAGCAGATCATATTTGATGTTTTGGTTTGTATGGTAACTCCGAGACAGATGAAAAATATCCTTTAAAAAATTAAAGCTCTGAAAATTATTCAGCTGGCAGCTGCTAACTTGGCCTAATGTTTATACTGACCTCCGTACTTCTACTCTGAGCATTATCCTGTTAGCTGTTCCAAGTAGCCTTGAACTATGAAGATAGGGTTAGTCTTTACAAGTCACATTTTCTGTGAAGTGGCTACTGGGGACAATCTTTGCTGTCAGATAAATGTTTCTAAAGGAAGAATTACTGTTTAAATTGATGTGCCTCCTTGACAGAATGGGATCCCTAGTTCTTGTTTCAGTAGGGAACTCTGTAGTATTATCTAAAAAGTGTCAGATTTATTTTAAAAGCATTTACTTAAAGACATCTTCTTTATGAGAAAGCTAAAGAAACGGGCTATGGAGAATGAAGTCTGTTTTATTATGCCTTTTATGGCCTATTAATTTGTTACCATCTATTCTGCTTTGTTGATGAAATTTTAATTTTGCCCTTGCTTGAGCATATTGTAAGATTTGTATAAACTGCAGCTCACTGTGCTAACAGAAAGGCTCTTTTAGGATGAACAATTGGAGCTCATTTTATTTCTAGAGGACATTTAAAATAACTTATGAATGAGAGTTGTCAGACATGAAATGCTGTATTAATTAAATCTTATTCTAGTCTTTTTGCTTCTCCAGCTAAACCAACCCTTTAGAAAAAAATACATGGCCACCTTAATTATATAGGAGAAGACAAAAAGTATCCTTCACATTCCTTCTCCTGAATAAGAATAAGAACTCAATTCATCTAAATAATAACCCCATTAGCTGCTTAACTCAACAGTGTACATGGGAAAATTTTCAACACAGAATGTAAGAAAGTCTTGATTGGGTGGATCATTTTCAAGGGTTTGTTCTTCCGATGTTCAAAATGATAATTTTAAGTAAATCTGATCTGGCAGGGTTCTCAGCTTTGTATCGTGTATGACTTACGACAAAAGTGTGTGTTCAGATACATGCTAATGCTTCTTTCTCTTTTCAAATACAGCAACAATACCATTCAAAAATAGATGACTTGATTGAAGAAACTGTTAAAGAAATTATTTCACTTCTTGTTTCAAAGGTAAACCTTTTTAGATTTAATTTATAATAAAACAGAAAATATATCTCTAATTATTGAACTTCTGAAATGTCTTTAAATATCACAGTGAGATTGTGGGGGAAACAACATAATTTGTAAATAATAGCCATGCAGATAATATTGAATTTACAAAATTAAATTTTATAACCCATTAGGTAAACGATTTCTGTGCAACCTGCACAGAATATCAGGTAAGTTTGTCTTCTGTATTTCTGTTATATATAAGAACTGCTAGCAGCTAGTAGAACTGGTAGGTTTTAATTATATCAGTATTATCTTAAGTAATAGCATGTTTTATTTTTTGTTTAATTTTTCACATGAAAATTTTCTTCCTATCATGAAGTAGTATGTGAATTTTATATTTAGAGGTGGACAACATCCAGAGTGTCAGTATAATTTTTTAATGAGATTTTGGTCCACAAATCATTTAATTTAAAAATATTCTCTAAGTTGTTATTTCTTGAAATTGACTTTGTAGGTTAAAAAGAAAATGTTTTGATATGATATAGGGACTTGGAGAGCAAGGGAAGAAAACTTAGACAGTGTCTTGTGTTACTGTAACATCTCTACTCCAGTAAAAGTCTTAAGTGCTTGATAGAAAAGTTTTCAGTCCCTAATAGTTCAAGTGACATAGCAATGACATGAAAGAAAGATTTCGTAAGAAGTTTTGTTATCTATGCATTGCAAACTACCCAGAAATATCTGATTTTCAAAGTAGGAGAAATAAGCCATACTTTCACAATTTGTGAGTTAGTGACAAAAATACAACTCTGGTTACATTTTCATCATGCCTTAGTTTTCACTTGTCACAGCTTGCTGGCAGGGGGTGAGGGAGCAGGAATCGCCTTTTGGATTGACACCCACCATGCTTGCACAGGAGTTGAAGAGGAAGGCTTTGTAGAATCACTGTAGACGTTTAAGAAAAATGTTTCCATTTACCGATAAATGTGTAGAAACCACACTTTTTTTTTCTCTAAAGGGAAGATTTGGTGTTTAAATAACTACAAATAGTTCAACTCGATAGTTTTGAGTTTTACATGCCACCTGTCATCACTCCAAGCTAACCTGTCAAATTATGGTTTTAGTGAATTGAAGAGTAAGAATAGGGAATTTTATAAAAGCAAATATTCTATTTATCTTTCTTAATATCTGAGATTATAGAAAAAGGAAGAAAATAGTCATATTGCTCATGGATATATATAGAAGAAATTTAGAGACAACTGCTGTCAGTATAGAAAGATTTTCCTTATTACTTGTCACATATATTATTAACAGAGGTTGAAATCTTGAAATATGAAGCAAGTATTTTGAGTGATTGGCTGATCATTAGAAGCTTAACCAGCCACTCCTCACCTGAGATGTGAAATGCCAATGACATCCTGATTGCTTCTGTTTCAAGGTGGAAGGCCTCTGGGGGTACAGAGAAAGGCTGATGTTTCATTCTTGGTTTTGGCCAGGAAGAACGCACATCAATGTGCATGATATCCATGTGTGTTCATATTTTCATCTAATATATTTTCACTGTGTTTTAGCCTTTGCCTCTGTATTATTTCTTTTGTGTTCCAGTGGAATGTGTTTCAACCATTGTTTTTAGCTGCAAGTCATCTATGTGAATGAAAAGAGCACTTTCTCTTCAGTGAGATTTTACACGGTAAAGATTATACTGTGCATTTTGCACACAAAACTTACCAACCTAAAACATTTCTCAAATCATAGGAATAGCACAAAACAGCAAAACAAAGCACAGTGTGTCTCAGGGTAACCAATTCAGAGAATGTGAGGTATACACAGAAATGCTTTTAGAACTTCACATGTCTGTACACTGAGATCTCAGAAAACAAGTTTTCAGCTTCGTTTAAATGGACATCCTTGACACTGCAATGTTTTGCTCTTCATTCTTTTGCATCCCACTTGTATGGAACTATTTGTTGGCGCTGCGGACACCATGTTGCTTGTGAGATCAGCCATTTCCATAGCAGATCTTCACACGGTTAGATTTAACACCCTTCTGCAAAAGAATCCTTGCCAGTCAGATAAAATGAGTTAAAAGTATGAACAGCAGCATCTCACAGGCATGCGACAGCAAAGCAGAAAGCTGGTATTTGCTCTAATAAAAGGACTATAATTATACTGTGCATGGGGTGCAGAAACAACTGCCACTCTCTCTCATGATGTGGTTTTATTCCTTGATTGGTGCCTACGTACTGGTGTCTTAATTAGTCACTGTAAATATGACAGGTTAGATTGATAAATGACAAACGTAGGTTTGCACTTGCTCCTGCTCCTTGAACTGTTAAGAGCAGGGCTTATTGTAAAGTGATGATCTCAGTTCCTCTGGAGGTGACACTGTTGTGACACTGTTACAGTGCCCATTAACAGCATGCCAGATGGAATTTTGTTCTGTCCTCACACTCATAAAATGATACTCGTAGTTGTGGGAATGACTTGTGTTGGGAACAAGGGATGACTTTTAGAACAATCTTTATATAAAATGGAAAGCAATTCATATGTGTAAAATGAATGTGCATGAACACAATGGCTGACAGATACTTTATGTTATATACCATTAATTACTTGAGCAATATAACATCACAGAGGGACATGAGAAGGGCAATTGTTTGCTTTAAGGCTAATTTGGGGGAGTTTAAGCATTGAGGCTATACTTAATGCAATTAATAAGGTGGGGGTTTTTTGTTGGAAATAAATTTTGCCAAAAACACCTTGTCGTGTCAATTGCTGAGGACTTACTTTACCTGGAGAATCACAGGTGAGAGCACAGGGGAGAGAAACCACACCATACCAGAGATTGGGGCATACATTTTCTTGCCCCTTCTTGGCCATGTAGTAGTAGTTCAACAACACATGCTGTTGACAGAAAACTCTAGTGTTATTTACACTGTTGGGTGAAATCAGAGTTGGGTTTCTATTCAATAGCAAAGTTCAGAGAAATGCGATACCAAGATCACCACCTTTAACGTTTGTGCTGCACCATGTTTGAAGCTGTGATCTTAGAAGCTGTGGTCCTAGAAAATAAAATATGTTTTCTACCCAAAATAGATGCTGGGTGCAAACCCCCTATGTTTAACCACATGTTCTAGAGGCAGCAAATTGGTGTGGGGTAGCAGCCCCACCTCAGGAGAATTTTGGGGTTGGGTTTCTATTTCTGCAGTGGTTCAATGATTTCCATCAGTCCAATCAATAGGTGAAGCTGCAAAAAGAATGTTGTCCTTGATTTCAGCACTTTGTGAGATGGAGAAAATGATCAAGTGTATAGTTTGCATTGCCCACTGAACAATGAAAATATGAGGAAGAAAAACTCACATTCTCATTCTAAGTATTTTCTTTTCATATTGCGCATTTAGATTTTTCTCTGTGCTTTTCCCCCAGGTTGTTTCAGTGTTAGAAGGTGTGCTGTCTAAATTGTCAAGATACGATGAAGGCACTTTTTTCTCATCATTAGTTTCGTTCACTGTAAGTGTTTGGATTCACAATGGTTCTGGTTTGCCTTCTGTGCATAATTCTGAAATTGTGCACAGTCTATAGTATAAAGCACTTACTGTGTTTTATTTTATTTTTAATTTTCTAAAGGTGAAAGCAGCTGCAAAATACGTTGATGTTCCTGTAAGTACAAGCCTTTTAATTCATTTTTTTCCTAGTGTTCATAATAATTAAAAAAATGGGGGTTTGTTAGCTCACATTTTTTATTGTTGACATTCTGCTTTCCTACAGAGATTCATTATAGCTTTACACTGAGTATTTGAACAGCCACTACAAACCTCAGAGGGTATTTCATTTCCCTCAAGCAAAGAGTAAGTCTCAAAGCAAAGCTTAGAAAGGTTATTCTCAATGCACTTTTTCAGTTGTAGAAGAGTAAGCATTGTAACTTAGATACTCTTCTGTAGAGGTCTTTCCATCATTTGTCTAAATTGTTCAAATGTACAGGATAAGCAACAAGTAGAAACATCATACTCAAATATCCATTATTTATCAATTCTTACTTAAGACTCAAGTCTTGCTTTTTTAATCCCTTGCTTGCTATATCTCCAATTTACCATTGCTTATGCAATGTTCGTGGGGTATAAACAAAAACTAGAAAGGGTGTTGTTAGGGCTTTTTTATACATAAAAGCAAAATCCAGCTGTTAGAATATATTTATTAGAGTATCATAGCAGAATGTCTTTTAAGAAGCAAGGAAGAAGTTATCAAATATTGTCATTATCACTGTCTGTAAATATCCTTTGTTCTTTCACAATTCTGTGTTCTCATCCTTTTTTAATGTGATTCTAAAACAATCTTACTTTCCAAGCATAGCAAAAAAATTATTAAAATTTTTATGTTGATGACCTTGCAAGAAATAAACTTGCAAATACAGAAGAATGCCGGACATGCTGGATTGTATGATGGCCAGAAATCCTTTCAGCAGTTCTGTACTTAAAAATATAATACTTCTAAGCCTAAATAAATTATTTTTTAAAAAAAAGAAAAAAAAAGCATACTAAATAAAATGAAAAAAACCTGTATTTCTGGAATGTTTTATTTTCCTATCTTTATAGGCACTTTATTCATAAATAGAGAATAATAACATTTCTGTTTGGATGATGTTTTCAGAATTTTTTCTTACTTGGTTATGTGTGGACTTTCTGTTGAATTGTATAAATGCTCTTCTATTTTACAGAAAAAGAAAAAGACTCAATTTTGCATTTAAAGGAATACCTCATCTCAAATCCAGTTAATTTAGAATAGCCTTTGTTAATATGTTGTGCTGTGGAGCTGCCCCAAAGGGTCCTTGGTGAGGCACTTAAGACTCAAAAAAGTAAAAATTACTGAACAAACTAGAAATTCATTGACTTCTTTCAACTAACATGAAAAAACTCTTCAAATTACATAGAATATCTATGAGAAGGGGATTTCAAAGTCTTTTACCACTGGCCTGGATACACTGAAGTTCACTATGTAGATGAGACTGAAAAATACCTTTGCCACGGCTCAGGGGAGTATTGCAAGTGAGGTCACATAGGGGTGCACTGCTCCGGAGGGGAGGGAAGACAAAGTGAGAAGGTGGTTGCTGGAGCCCCACTGGCTTTCTCACATTTCCTGAATCGTGTGGCTTGGCCTGAAGAGACGACCAAGTTATAGACTGGCTGTCAGGATCCTTGCATTTTTACAGCCCCTTCACTTTTCAGCTATCCCCACACACCTTTCCCACAGCCCAGAGTGTGAACAGGGCGGTAGTACTACAGTTGTAAACTAAAAGTGTAAACTGTAATTCATGGAGGCTGTGGACCTGACCAAGCAAACATTTTCCAAATTCTGGAGGAGATTTTACCTGGGTTGAAGGAGTCTGATTGCTTCTTCACATTCTTCTTCTTGTTGTGAAGACACAGTTGAGGCCAAGAAGAGCCCTTACTTACTGTCACCACTGACAGTGAGTGCCCAGTCTGAATAGGATCTAAAATCACCAGCTGTGGAAGTTACAAATTCCAACTGCAAAAGGAGGCTGTAAGTCATCACATTACAAGGTCATCTCCTGGGCTCACAACTGAAGTGAGAAGTGCAGGGGGGGAGTACAGGGTGAGGAATTTACACTGAGCTCTCAGTCGTGTGATGGTAACCTAGCAAGCTTGCACTGAAGCTAATTAAATGCCTTGTGTGGCTGTAGTTTGAACTGATATGGTTTAAAATCTCTTCTTGTCCCTCCTTACCATAGAGCTGCATATATGGAAGTGACTTAAAGGTGACCACAGCAGGTCTTTTCTTTTGATATAGTTGCAAATATGTGCAAAATTACACTTTGTTAATGACCACATTCTTCCCTTGTGCCCCAACTCCATTTCAGCATCTCACCTTAGTGCTTGGGGTCCCTGAAAAAGAGCTTGGTGTATCTCAGGGAGAAGGAGGTTGCGGGAGGCAAAAGGCCTTTGGAGTTCTTTTGAGCTTGTGATTTCAACAGAATTGTTGATCTTTGATTGCCAGGCTCAGTATTTGACAAAGAGGTAAGAATGTGCTGGTTTATAGTGGAATAAGAAGAAAATAACTAGACAAAAGAGATGTTAGAAGAAAATGAAGGTAATACTGAGCAGAATGTTTTAGAGAGAGGATAAGAGGTAAAGGAGATACAAAAGATAAAAGGCAAACAAAAAATAGAAATAATAAAGGATTCTGAAGGAGGACATTCTTGGATGATTCTTGCGCATTTTGAAGAGAATGTTAATTCTATTAATATTGAGAGGGGATTTAATCATTAAATAGTTGGGCACAAAGACGCACGCTCCCCAGAAGGCATCCCTCAACTTCTCCGTGCCAGGGTGGGCGATGTAGGCACAGAATTGCAGTTCACTTGGCAGATAACGTTTGTAAAAATGTTACACTTTTGTGTAACGTGTCTCCTCTTCCACTCACTAATCTTGCCAGAGCATCATGAATTACTCCATCCAAAAAAAGTTTCATCTTTTTTTTTTTTGTTTTAACCTGTTTAAGAGAACATTCAACATGAGCCTCCTTTTTTCAGAAGGCCCTCATGAGGTGGGACATATGCAGTCACAAGGAGCTCCCATTGCTTTCCCCAGCCATTGTGTATAGGGCTATGTGGACACTGTGTATGTTTGGATAATTGGAACACCAGCAGAAATATTAAGGACAGTGCAAAATAACCCAGATTAAGAAGAGTAATGACTATGATGGCTTATGATTTCCTAAAAATAATAATGAAGAAATCTAGTTGCTATTATACTCTTTCTGTTGGTAATTGTCACAGTATGCTAAGCTCTGAAGTGAAGGAAATTGTGCCTGCTGTGCATGTGAAAGAAACCAAATGTTCAGAGGAAAATAACACAAATGTTACAAATATAAGTAGTGCATGAAACGTGCAATTTGTTCTCTTGTTAATGGTATGTTTTGATGTTTGGTAATGCAGGAGCTGATTTAGGTTACTATTTCTTTTAAAACAACTCACCCGAATCCACTATAACTCTGTTAGTTTCTGCTGAAGGCCAAACAATCCTTAGGAGATGTAGAAGAACAACCTGTCTAATTTTTTTCTCCTTTTTTTAGTACTCTATTCACAAAGCC